TGTGGGAAGGTCCAGGCTATTGCGGTCAGAGCCACAGATAGGCTATTGTTCCTGGGTTGTATGAAAGAGCAGGCTGAGAAGTCATGAGAGGCAAGCTGGTGAGCAGCCCTCCCTCCAGGGCTCTGCATCAGCCCTGCCTCCAGGTTACTGACCTGAACTTTGATGATAAAGTGAGTCAGGGAAGACTAAGGGAAAATAAACCCTTTCTTCCCCAAATTGCTTTTGGTCATGGACTTTGTCAGAGTAGAAACTCTAAGACAGATATCTTCCTCTATCCCTTTCTGCCTTATTCCTTTGAGACAGGGTGTTACAGGATATTTGATTACACTGTGAACCCCAAGATTATGTCACTTACTGGACAAACCTGTTTTTAGTTGTGGTGTGGCTCGGCCTTAGTACACACTTTTAATCCAAGAGCTTTCTGCTTGAACATTGTAAACAGGGTTAAATAAAGTCAACCATAGGTCAAGAGGAGGAGCAAGCAACCCATGACAGAAATCGAACATAGGATTAGTAAGAAAAAAAAAAAAACAAAAACAAAAAAAAAAAAAAACCCAAACATTGAGAGTAAGAGGGAGTTAGGAGGACTGACAGGAAGTAGAAGGGAGGGACATTCAGTTTCAGGAGTCCTGTATGAGGCAGCATAGGAAGAGGCGTTTCTTGTGGGACACTGGCTGAGGAGGAAGGTCAGCTGGGTGCTTTCTCTGCCTCTCTGAGCTAGCAGGCTTTCACCTAGCATCTGGCCCCTGAATCTTCATTGGCAATATGGAATGACTGAGATTTTGTTAAAAACAAAAGATCTCTCACTGAACCCAAAGCTCGTGGTTTCAGGTAGGTTAGGTGGCCCATGAGTCCTGCAATCTGCCTATCTCTGCCACCACAACACTGGGATTACAGATATCCAGGACCCTGCCTGGCTTTTCTGTCGGTGCTAGAGATTGGAACTCAGATCTTCACGCAAACTTTTTAAGACAGGGTTTCACTCTGTACACCTGGAGCTCACAGAGATCCGCCTGCCTTTGCCTCTTGAGTGCTGGTGTTAAAGGAGTGTGCCACCCTACCTGGCTCAAAAAAGACATTCTTACCTAAGGAGCCATTTCTCCAGCCCTCACCTTGTTATTTTTAAAGGACTGATAAGTATGTGTATTTGCATGTGGGTACATGCATATGACTGCAAGTGCCTCAGAGGCTTGAGATATTAAAGGTAGCGGTAAGACTCCAGTGTGGGTTCTGGAAACAAACTCAGGTCTGTAAGAGCAGGCAGTGCTCTTGACCACTGAGCCAGCTCTCCAGCTCTGCACATACCCACCACTGCTTTAAGTCAGAGTCTTTGTGTGGAATCTGGGGCCCACCGCCGATTAGACCAGGCAGACTTGCTGGGCTTAACTGACCAGGCGCTGGGATTGCGGGCACGTACTACTATGCCTGACATTTTATAAGGTCCAGGGATCAAACAGCTCCTCATGCTTGTGGAGCAACAACTTTACTCCCTGAACCCTCGCTCTAGCCCTATCATTAACTTTAAAAAAAGATTTATTTTTATTTTTCCAAGGTAAGTCCCACTATGTCGCTCTGGCTGTCCTGGAACTCACGGTGCAGAAAAGGCTTGTAACCTTCCTATGTTGTTTGCCTCCCACGCCCTAGTTCCCAAAATAACAACTCTGGGGCATTTATTCATGAATAAGTGCCCTTGTTCATTCTCCAATTAGCTCCTAAACCCATTTTTTCTGTGTGCCACGTGGCTGGTTACCTCCCCTCAGTTTCAAGTGTCCATCTTCCCCAGAGTAAAGGGGCAATGTCCCACCTGACTCCATCCCAGAGTTCATCTCTCTCCACCGGAACTCCCACCTCCTATTTCATGCCTCAGCTGATAGGCCATCAGCTTTTTACTGACAGGTGATGCTTCCATCCTCTGCCACAGTACACAAGCGAGTCTCTACACAGGCTGCCCTTGAACTCACAGAGATCTACCTGCTTCTGCCACCTGAGGGCTGGGATTAAAGGTGTGCTCCACCAAGCCCGAGATTTATTTTAATTATGTGTATGTGTGCATGTAGACATGAGTACAGGAGTCCAGAAAAGGGCACTGAATCCCCTGGAACTGAAGTTATAGGCGGCTGTAAAGCTGCCCAACATGGATGCGGGGAACTGAGCTCAGGTCCCCCTGCAAGTGCAGCAAGTGTTCTCAACCTGAGCCATTTCTCCAGTCCCCTTATTAACCATTAAAAGTCCCTCAGGCACTGTATCACATCTTCTCGTGTCTCACTAACGATCCAACAATAGAAAGGAGTAGAAGGCTGACAGGATGTTCTAGAAAAAAGTGAATGTCAGAGATTAAAAAAAAAAAACAACAACAAACAAACCTTCAGTGATTAAATAATAACTAAAGCCTTTTTGAAATTGTCTAGTACTACAGCCCAGGACATTAAATCCTCTAACCAAGAATAAAATTCACAGCCATGGAGACGGCTCTGTGGCTACAGGCACTCGCCACCAAGCCTAATGATCTGAAACTCATGTGGAAGGAGAATCAGCTCCTGAAAATTATCCTCTCCACCTCCACATGTACAAAGAGGCACATACAAACACAAAGTAAATGTTAAATTGTTCTTGAGTTACTTGAAGCATGGGCTGATTAAAGTAAATCCACAGAAAGGAGCCAGATCACTAGAGCTATCAACTCTGTGGAGAAAAGACAGTTACTGTGAAGGTGAAACGAGGGTTCAGGTCATTAGACTGTTGGCTGGCACTCAGGAAGCAGTATGTTATACTAAATACATTAAATGATGTAGAGAACCCAGGCTCTGTGCTGGGTGAATATTATGTGTATTCTGTGCCTGATGCCCATCTTTTGCAAAGTGGGCATAGTTGTCATTTTACGGACATGAGACAGATTCAGAGAGGATAAGAGAGCAGCTTAGGCTTTCAGTTAGTGCAGGGCCAGGGCCAAGCTAGGTTTGCTGCTTCGAAGCTTCTGCCACTCAAAATTATGTTTGCATAAAGAAGCTGTTAGATGTATAGAAAGAAATAAAGTTAAAACTTGTATATTCCCAAGTAGAAAGTATAAAGCATACAAAGAACAATATCTCAATAGCTGTTCTCAAGACTGGATTTTATGCACAGAAGAACCGTCTCCCAAACCAAGTAAAAAGTCCTTTAAAAAGAATTGGCAAAACAGCTCAGTGGACAGACACTTACCACCAAGCCTGGCAACCAGGACTGTAAGATGGAAGGAGAAAACTGATTGCCACATGCCCTCCGCCCACATACGTGAACCTAATAAATCCTGGGCTTCTAATTCTTCACAATGCAGCAATGCCTGAACTCTTCTTTTTTTAAGTTTGTCAAGACAGGGTTTCTCTGTGTAACCTTGGCTGTCCTGGAACTCTCTCTCTGTAGACCAGGCTGGCCTCAAACTCAAGGAGATCTGCACGATTCTGCCTCCTGAGTGCTGGGATTAAAGGGGTGCACCACCACCACCTAGCCTTCTTTCCTAATCTTTGAAATGAAATTCTGAGCTATGCAGATCCTGTTTCACTCTGAAACTGTTTTCGTCATGTTGGCATAAAGGTGTTCCCATGCTGTGGCTGGCCCCAGTGGAAAGATTTGTAGAAGGTCCAAAAGGGGAAAACAGCAGGACCAGACTGGTGTGTGTAGCTCTGCAGAGAAGCAGCAGATGTATAACTTGGTTCACATGGTTTTAAAGGCCAGCTGAGTCCCGGATCTGCAGTTTCACAGACACTACAGAGCCACTGGTTTATGACTCCAGTTCAGAAGAGCAAAAGTTTCTAATGAAGTCTACCACGGTTTCCTCTTGGTTTTTTCTTCTCTTATTTCCTTCCTTCCCTGCCTTCCTTTCTTTTTGAGACTCAGTCTCTCAGTGAACTCAGAGTTCACTGAGCTCAACTGGGACACACCTGCCTCTGCTGCCCCTGTACTGAGGTTGCAGAGGCATGCCACTGTGTCCAGCTTTTATGAGAGAGTAGGGAGCCAAACTCAGGTCCTTATGCTTTTGTGGCAGGGACTGAACTCCAAGCTATCACCCAAGCCCAGCCTTCCGCTTTTAACTCACATTAGACAAATAATCTGCTTTACTCAGTTTACCCACTAAAATGCTGTTATCTCATCCAGAGACACCTTCAGACATACCCCGAGTATGACAGTCAAAACTACCAGTTATTAAGTGCTGGGTGCTTCCCTGGTCATTTCCTGTGCATGGCACCATTCTGTGAGAGTTATTTATCACCCATGTCATTACACTGAGAAACCAGCGTTTTAAACATTTAGGTAAGTTGTGCTGAGTTGCTCACTTAGAAGTTAGTATCAAAGTTCTTTTTTCATTTGCTTTTTTTAGACAAGTTCTCATGCATCCCAGGCAGGCCTCAAACACGCTTTGTACTTCGTCTTCCAAGTACCAGGATTGCAGGCACAACCATGCCTGTTTGTGGGCTGCTAGAGATGAAGCCCAGTGCTGTGCTCATGACAGGCAACTATTCTACCAACCCAGCTCCATCCCAAGCCTGAGTTCGGTTTTAAGTCTGAGGTAAAGCAAACTTTTTTTCAGCAATGGTAAAAATCCAAATAGGAGCGTCTTGCACAACTTGCTTATGGCTGAGGATGACCTTCAACTTCTGATCCTCCTGCTGCCACTTCCTGGGTGCTGGGAGTACAGGTGTGCACCACTACCTGAACTACGTGGTGCTGAGGCTCAAACTCAGAACTTCACGAGGGCTAAGCTGGCACTGCACCTACTGAGCTAGACCCCCAAGTCTTCAGATGCACCTTTTTCAGAACAACCTTTCGGAATATACACCATTTAACTGCCTCACTCTTCAAAAGGCACAATCTCCTTTAAGCTGAACATTAAGAACACCAATTTTATTTAAACTTTTGTTATTCAAGTAGAAAAGGCTGCTCTTCACTGTCACACACAAAGGCGCGCGCACGACTTCTACCGTCTTCATAACCATTCTTTCTCCCACAGGGTCATCTTTCACAGTCATGGCAGCTGCTTGTAAATAAAGCTTTTAATAAATTACAATGTGTAATAGGTCCTTGTCTGTCTTCTTCCCAGCTACTTAACGCACTGTTGCATAGCAACAATCTTGGTTTTCTGCTTCATCTTCTTTGGAACTCTGAGAGTCTGAAATCTGCACTGGCTTGGGTGAGCGTGGGAATTCTTCTGGTACCACGAATGCAAATATCCATTGTAGAAATCAGTAGCTGTTAGTGCTTTCTTAAGCATTACTGATCGAACACCAATCCAGCTATCCTAAAGGGCAAAGCACAGACAGTGACTAGACAGAGGGGAAAAACTTGAAAACAAAATAAACTGTACTTTATAAAGTGTGTCAGGCATGGTGGCACAGCCTGTAATCCCAACACTGAGGAGGCAGGCCAGGCAGAGCTCTGAGTTCAAGCCCGGGCTACATAGTCAGACCCTGTCTTAAAAAAACAAAGCAAAAAACCTCCTGAAATGTTATAGAAACAATTGCTTTTACTAAGTGTCTAGCTGCAAAGAACATTGCAGAGAATTATATGAATGCTTTGTCTCTAAAAGTTCCCCACAAAGGCAGAACTGTCCTGACCTCTTCCAATACAGGGACTAGAATAAAAAGTTGTATCTGCAAGGTGCTTTAGTTTTCCAAGTAGGTCTACATATCTACCTGTAAACAGTTATCTAAACATAAAAATCAAGGCCTGAGAGTTGGCTCAACAGCTAAGAGCACGCACTGCTCTTATACAGGACCAAGTTTGATTCTCACTATCAGGCAGGTCACAACTGCCCGTAACTCCAGCTCTGAGGGGGAAGAGGGGTTTCCAACACTCAAGCCTCTCTGGGCACCTGCACTTACATGCACATATCTACACACAGACACAGACAGACAGACACACACACAATTTTTTTTTTTTTTAATCTAAAAGATAGGCAAATCCAGTGTCAGCACCAGACTAGAAAATGCAGGACTGTAGCTGGTGGGTGACTTTTTCAAGGTAACACAACTGGTCAGAGTCAAACTTCACGTTTCCCAGCTACAGCTGCTTCTCAGTGAGACTCAGACCAAGGGAGGTCACCTGGCGAGGGCAGCGTGAGCTGAGCAGTGGTCGAAGGCTCTGCTGTAGCCTTTGTTGGCAGATCAGTCTCTCATGCACTTTAAATCATGCTTTGTGAGTACGCAGACTCTAACATAACTACCAAAAGATAGAATATACCCAGTAAACTGAGGGAGGTATGTCTCAGAAATAAGCCATAGCTCTGTCAAACAGTGGCCCCAGTCTTTAGAAAGCCCACCACAGCAGCTGAGTGTGGCAGTGAATGCCTTTAATCCCAGCACTTGGGAGTCAGTCACATGGATCTCCTCTGAGTTTGAGGACAGCTGGGTCTACAGAGTGAGTTCTAGAACAGCCAGGACTGCACAGAGAAACCCTGTCATGAAAAACAAACAAACAACACCCCCCCCCCCCAAAAAAAACCCATTATGTAGCCCAGGATGTCCTGAAAATTATGATGTTGCTCAGGCAATCTTCCTGCTTCAGCTTCCAACGTGCTAGCAACACCAGGCTCTCAGTCACTTTAAACTTTTAAAAGAAGTATTACAATTACTGTGTATGTGTGTGACACACACACACACATGTGGAGGATATGTGGGAGTCAGAGGTCAGCTCTGGAGTTAGTTCTCTCTGTTTACGTCTGTGTGAATTCTGAAGATAGAATTTACGTCATCCTGCTGAGCCATCCTGATAGCCTTCTCCAGTCATTTCATAGTATTTAAAAAAATAAAAAATTGAGTAGGAGATGGCCCAGAGGATAAAGCATTTGCCATGTAAACATCAGGACCCAACATCACAGCTGCAGAGACTGGGAGGCAGAGACAGGAGAATCAAGGCAAGCCCATGTGCTGTGGCATGCATGTACCTTCATTCACACACCCTACACACATACGCAAATGTTTTTAAAGACTCCATCTGGGCATCTGAGACGTTCAGTAAGGAGAGGTGCTTGCTGCCACGCCTGATAACATAGAGCTATCCTCGGGATGCGTATGGTGCAAAAAAAGAGCCAACACCTCAAAGTTGTCCTCTGACCTCCCCTGAGCACATCTGCAGGGTATTTTCTTGGTTGTTAATTGACATAGGAGGGCCCACCCCACTGTGGGCAGTGCACCCCAGTCAGACAGGCCTGGGCTGTATAAAAAAGGTAGCTAAGAGGCTGCAAAGAGAGTTCATTTATTAAGAGCACTTGTTGCTCTTGTAGAAGATTGGGGCTCAGTTCCTAGCACCCACATCTGTAACTCTAGTTGCAGGGGACTCAACATCTTTTTCTGACCTCTCTGGGTTTTAGGCATGTAGTCAAAAAGACTCATACATATAAAATAAAAAGAAAGGAGGGAAGGAAGGAGGGAAGAAGGGAATGGAAACAAGCAGCATTCCTCTATGGCCTCTGCTTCAGCTCCTGCCTCGAGCTCCTGTTCCGACTTCCCACAGTGATGGGCTGACCCGGATATGAGATGAAATAAATCCTTTCCTCCACAAGCTGCGTTTTGGTCATGGTGCTTATTTACAGCAACAGAACACAGCCAGGACAATGCCCTCACTCACTGCTGTTGAGGACTCATGCTATACAGTCACACAAGCAGATGCCCTGAAGACTGACACCAGATACAAGAGCTTATTACGTTAATTACTAAAAGTAACTCTTTCAGAAATTCATTGTTATGGTGTAGCAATAAAACTTCACACTTTCAAAAGTTATACTGGAGAGCCAACTGTTTCTTAAGAAAATGAAATTGTCTAGTAGCCTAATCTGAGATGCCATCGATTAAGTAAAATCTTACTGAAAATGCTGTCTTATCAGTGTTCTTTGCTGTGAGGGGACACCATGACCAGGCAACTCTTAGAGAAGAAGGCTTTTACTTACAGTGCAGACAGCTGGTCTACTAGCATCACGGTGGGAAGCATGGCAACATGCTCGGGGCTGGAGAAGCTTTACATTCTGATTCACAAACGGGGGTGGGCCGAGGGGTTGGTGCAGGCAGACACTGGGCTCGGCAGGGGCTTTCGAAACCTCAAAGCCAATCTCCCATGACACACTTCCTTCAATAGGGCCTCGAGTCCTAATCCTTCTAATCCTTTCAAAGAATTCTACTTCCTGGTGACTAAGATTTCAAACACATGACCCCACAGAAGCTATTCTTGTGCAAAACACCACAAATGTAAGTGACAAGCCTGGTATGGTGCTACACACCTGAAATTCCAACGCTTAGCAGGCTGAGGCAGAAGGATCAATTTTAGGACAACCTTAGCTACACAGTTTACGGCCTAGCTGGCCTAGGCTACTTAAGTGAGACTTCATCTCAAAAGAAAAGGAAAAAGAAATACATTTTACAAAATACAAATTCAGCAAAAATAATCACAGTAACTTGAAGCTCAAGTCAACCTACCTTGCAGCGAACCAGCAGCATTTGCGATTGTTTGTGGAATACCACTGACCCTGGAGTCACAGTCTGTCCTGTTAATTTGGGGTCTAAGAAGGGGGAAACGACACAAGAGAAATAATCATGAATATCACGGCACTTCTTAAAAATCAAAGATATTTTGGTGTGGGATGTAAATGATACAGTACTTGCCCAGGAAGGGCAAGATCCTGCACTCCATCTCTAGCACTCAAAAACTAAAACTTTAAAAAGAACAAAAAAGAATCTTCAGAGGCAGAACTAATGAGGGAAGAGACACACATACTGAGGTCCCAACTCTGCAACCCAACCTCCTGGAGCCATGTGCTCTGGATACGTCACAGACCCAAAGGAAGTGCTCCACACACAGGAGCCCCAGTCCCAGCTCCATCTCCCAGGGATCACCTGCTAAGCTTGATCTGCCAGCTCAGTATGTTCTGAAAGACTAACTGCCCAGTAGGGGAGCACCTCACAGCCCACTTAAGACCGCCTCTGGTCCTTCCATTCCCCACAAGTGGGTCCTGACTCCTGGACCTCCCACTGCCCCTGTAGCTCACATTCCTGCTCGTCACATCCAGAGAATGCTAAGGGACCTCAGAAGGAACCGTATGTGAAATGCTGTGCTCTCGCTGCACTGCCCAGACATTTTCATTATTATATTCACCAACATGAAATTAGCTAAGCCATTCCATAGCTCCCCAACCTTAGCACAAGAAGCCACAGATTTAAAGGAGGACAAGCGACACTGCCCACCAGTTTCCTGGGTTTGTAACGCTTGCACGAGAAAGTACGTGTGAATGGACACTGCAGAAGGTAAGGAGAGCAACTGTGAGGTGTTATCATCTGCACTGAAAAGTAACAATTAGAAATATGGGGCGGGGGCTGGAGAGATGGCTCAGAAGTCAAGAGCACTGGTTGCTCTTCCAGAGGTCCTGAGTTCAATTCCCAGCAACCACATGGTGGCTCACAACTATCTGGTGTCCTCTTCTGGCATGCAGGTTATGTGCAGACAGAACATTGCATACATAATAAATAAATCTTTAAGAAAAAGAAATATGGGGCAGTCTGACACATTTTCAAACGAACTATAGTGAAAACAACTTGTTGGCTATTTAAAAGTTAGTACCTGCAAGGATGGCGCTGTTAACTTCTACAAGATCCAGAAGCTTAATGGTGCTCTCCATCCAGCGTGTCTGCAGTGGAACCTGCAGTTGGGATGGAAGGGTTCATGAAGGAATGCATACGATGCCCAAAGCCTTTTGGACACTGCTATATACTAATCCACTCTGACATTTCTTCCATGTCTGGAGAAACTGGGCACTCACTCACTAAGTCTGCTGAAACACAGCCTGAATATGTCTGTATGTCTTTGCAGGATGTGTAAGATCTTAAGTTTTATGTAAGAGCCAACTAGTAGCCTTAATATTCCCAATTTATGCTCAGTATAAAGCAAGAATTAAAGCATTTGCGTTAAAATTTAGAAAGTGATGGTAGTTTGTATTTTCACAAGACACAACTACTGTTAACAGTTTGCTGTGTATGTCCTGTATTATTCCCCTCACACCACACACCAGATATTATTAGGATAAAAAGCGAGAGCTTGGCTTCAGTCATATGCATCTCCTTTACCTGTGCCTGTGCACAGCGTCCTAGCCTATGAATTAGTCATAGTTTACACAATAATGCCTTTATAAAAGAGATTTTACTTATTTCCAGTTGCTTGCTGCTATAAACTGTGGCAGTAAACAGCTTTGTGGGGCTGGCTGGCTCCTTAGGTGAATCCTGTGTGAAGGCTGCATGGAAGGAGAGAACTCATTTCTGAAAGTTATCCTCTGACCAGCACATGCCATGGCATACAAACGTGCACACACAATAAATAAATGTGATAAAAACAGAAAGCTTCGTAGACACACCTTTAAAAACTTTTAATCCTAGTACCGTGTGGTAGAGGCAGGTGGATCACTGTGAGTTTGCAGTTAGCCTAGTCTACATAGAGAGTTATAGGCAAGCCAGGACTACCATCTCAAATACACACACACACACACACACACACACACACACACACACACTGAGATGTAGGACTGATGGCAGAAAATGTGCTTGGTATGTGCAAAGCCATGGGTTCCATCCTTATTCTTGAAGGGAAGAAAATCCAATCACAAAGAGATTCCTCCCAAGTCTACCATTTAAGCAGGTATGGGGGTTCACACATAAATCCCCGCACTCGGGAGGATGAGGCAAAAAGAGCTCCATGAGTTCAAGTCCACCCTGGCAACAGAATAAGATACTGCCTTAAACAACAACAAAACCAAACACTGTCTATCTCTCATCAATTTATGAGAATTGTGTAAGTATTTAGGAAACTAGTCACTGAATTCTTGTATGTGTTACAGACCTTTCTTCCAGTTGGTCAACTCTGAGTCTCATGACTAGTCACTTCTCCAAGAATAAGTTTTTAATTTTATTCAACAGTTCATTCTCACATGACTTCAATAGCTCATAACCATGTTTTAAAAGAAAAGCCTCCTTATATTTTAAGATAATATGATTATAAAATTATCCCACTATGCTGTTTTCTGGCCCATGGATCTCATTTTTTTGTGTGTGTAAATACTTAATCCATGTTTGGTTTTCTTAAAATAAAAAACACACATGAATTTTACCCTATTAACAAATTTCAGATATGTAATACCCTTAACGTATACTAACCATATACATATATATGTTTTATTTATTGTTGTTGCTTGTTTGTTTGAGACAGAGTCACTCTATGAAGGCCTGGTTATTCTGGAACTCATTTTGTAGTTCAGCTGGCCTTGAGCTCAGAGATCTGCCTGCTTCTACCTCCTCAGTAGAGGAACTAGAGCATGTGCCACCACACCAAGCTTGAGCAGTGTGATTTTAAAAATGTAGAATCGGGGCTGGGAGATGGCTCAGTAGTTAAGAGCACAGGCTGCTCTTCCAGAGAACCTGGGTTTGATTCCAGCACCTACACGGCAGCTCACAACAACTGTCTGTAACTCCAGTTGCAGGGGATTCAATGCCCTCTTCTGGCCTCAGGAGCACTAGAGACATATACGGTGCAAAGACATACATGCAGGCAAAATACCCATGAGCATAAAATATGAGCAACCACATGGTGGCTCACAACCATCTATAATGAGATCCGGTGCCCTCTTCTGACAGGCAGGCACACATGCAGGCAGAACAATGTATACATAATAAAGCTTTAAAAAAAAAAAAAAAAAGAGAGAGAGAGCTTACTATGTAATCATGCGGATGGACAGTCATACCCCATCACCCACATAACAAGCCTGAAATCTAGGAGACAGATGTAACCATAGCTCTGAAGTATAGACGGCCTCTCCTGGCCTCTGTGCATGAATGCGTATGTGTACTGCACACACACACATGCTCATATACTCAGACACACAAGTACACACTAAATAATGAAATAAATCTTAAAAAGAAGGAGAGAAGGAGGGGGAGCAGTTGCCCCAGTAGTACTATTTACTGGACAATCCACTTCCTCCTAATGTGAATTTCCATCTTTGCTACTTTAACACATTTTCAATATAAACAAACACAACAAAAGCTGATTGAAAGTGTAATAAAAACCAACATACCAGAAAGAATTCCTCTTAGTTTCTCTGAGCTCATTATTTTCAGACTGTACTTTGATACTGAATTTTTAAGACATTACATGTATGTGTGGAAACAAGGGGATCATGAGTCCAAAGGCAGTCTGGGTTATAGTGAGACTGTCTCAAAAAGACAAAGAATCCAGGGATTGGCTCCTATCTATCACCCCAGCACTTAGAATGCCTGGATGTGAGTATTGGGTTTCTGACCTAGGACAGCAGCTGAGGTGCCTGTTTAACACATCACAACAGACCTGGTCTCCAGGTTCCCAGCATGCCTCAGTCCCTATCTGTTACAGGCAATGGCTGGCACAGCCTGCCCTCTACCTTGAACTTTAGCCCAGGTGCTGGGCTTCTCCTCCTCTAGACATTTTGCTTGCACTCTCTGTTTGTCTGTCTGCATTTGTCTCTCCCTGTGTGCATACACTCTCTCTTTCTTACTCTGCCAAACCTCCCTATCTGGATGGTGATTTCTCTGGCCTTGGAAACAGTGAACTTGCCAAGGCCTGCCCCAATAAACCTGCTTTTTCACTTTTAGTTGGGTTTGAATTGGTTTATTTCACCTGCAGAGAAAACCTATTAGTGAAGACAATGTGAGCTACACATTCCAAGCCAGCCTGCATCACAGACTGAGACCTGATCTCCAAATGAACAAATCAGGCTGGACATGACTCAGTGGCTAAGAGCAAGTGCTGCTCCCACAATCACCTGTAACTCCAGCTCTAGAGGGTTCACACACACACACACACACACACACACACCTAAAAATAAATTTTTTTTTATAAAACACAACTGTAAAATATTGACCAGAGGTAGAAAGATATACCAGGTGGAGTTAGAAGACTTAGACTTTGCTTAGTGACTGGTCATACCTAAGTTACTTATCTGTTTTTATTTTCCTTGTCTATGACAGGAGATAATCAAATCTGGTTAGGAGATACTGCAGACTTTATATTTGAAAGCACTTTCTGAACTCCAAGGCCACTATCAAAACTTAAAATTTAAAGTTTAAGAACATTTCCTAGGTTTAGTTTATAAGGTTCGTTTCTAAATTAATATACCCAAAAGGAAACAACATAGCAAAAACACAACCCAACTTTTCAACTCACTATGTCCCTAATGGCGAGGTGGAGTCTGAGAACTTGCTCTGAGGTTTGCTCTTCCCACTTGACACAGCTGGTACTGGCAGAAACCTTAGGGGCTGCAAGAGGAGACAAGGGTGAGAAGGCTCAACTTTCCATGTGTCCAAAACTTGCTACAATTCAAAGTAAAAATACGTAAACCTAGTATTAAAACATGAGGAAGCTACTTTACAACTTAAGAGTAAAAAAAATCCTTTTAACTAACTATGACTCAAACTCCAGAGGGCAGGCAAGATGGCTCAGCAAGTATAGGCACTTTCCTCCAAGTCTGACAACCAGAGTTCAGTCCCTGGAATTTCCACGACAAGAGAACCAGCTCCTGAAAACCATTCTCTGGCCATACAGAGCCACGGCTTACACATTCGCCTCTGCATAAACAAAGAAAACAGTTTATCAGCCCAGCAATGAAAACATGATGTGAGACGGTACAAAAACACGCTCTTCAGCTGTGGTGGCCAGCTTTGAGCCCAGCATTCCGGGGGCAGAGGCAAGCTGGTCTACAGGATAGCCAAGTGAGTCCCAGGACAGCCAAAAGGTGCACAGTGAGACCCCATCTCCAAAAAATAAAAATAAACAAATAAATAAAGCACTTTTCAAAAGATAAAACAGACGACTTAAGTTAAAGTTTAAAAATGTCAGACTAAAAGAACATGTAGCTCATATTACGAAGGCTGAACTTTGGTATTATTTAAAATATTCCTAATAAGTAAAAAGGAAAAAAACAAGATCCTGATAGAGAAAAATGGACCAACAGTAAAATACCTCCCAGAGAAAGGGACTAGCATAGAAATACCCCTTAAACACATAAAAATATTGCCAATGCCACTCACAGGAATAATCCACATTAAAACTACTCCAGAATTGATCCCCTCCCCTTTTTTTTTTTTTGCAAAAGGGTTTTACTATATAACCCACGTTGGCCTTGAACTGGAGATCTGTCTGCCTTGCATCCTTACTCAGCTGGGATTACAGGGATGAACCACATGCTCAACTCCGTCCCACCCACTGGATTTGGAAGCAGCATATGCATAAAGTGGTTCAAGACCAGAACAACTCACACCCCCTCAACAGGGGACCTGTGAATAAAGAGGACAGCTCCACACAACCAAGAATTCCGCTCACAAGACAAAAACAAAGGGCAGGGTCTGCAGAGCCAGCTCAGGGTTTTAGAGTACTTATTCTTTGGTTCCCAGCACTCACGTGGTGGCTCGCAACTGTTTGCAATCCCCGTTCCAGGACTCCGTCTTCTGAGCCCGTCCACACATGGTATGCATACACACATGCGGCAAAAACACTCGCACACATAAAATAAATAAACCTCTTTTTAAAAAAGGAGAAAAATCTAACTAAAGAAGTGGTATCAAAGATGTACTGATAAGTGCAAAAATCAACAAAAAGCATAAATAAACAACATAAAGAAAGATAGGAAATACTTCTTAAATTAAAAGAACAGAAAAGGCCAAGTGTGGTGCCAAACACCTGTAATTCCTCACCTTGGGGTTGAAGGCAGGATGATCAGGAGTCCAAGGTCATCCCCAACTACATAGCAAGTTTAAAGTCAGCCTGGGCGACATGAGACCATGTCTCAAAAAGACAACATTTGAAAAACACAAAGCAAACAGAAAGAAGAGAAGCAGTAACTGGGTCCCAGAGCAATCTTTTTCTAACGGAGAAGCATTTGTTATGATGTGGTGGAATCCAGCACCACTAAAGCGTTCTACCAACAGCGACACCTCCAGCTCTTTGCATGTTTAATTTTTTTTCCCAAAAAACATTTTTAGGTATGCTAACATATGCCTAGAATTCACGTACTTGAAAAGCTGGGGCAGGATTGCTGTGATTTCTAGGCTATCCTGGTCTATTTAACAAGACCCTGTCTCAAAACAAAAACAAAAAAGAAACTCAAAACACACCAAAATATTTTACATTTTGGGGTAACTAATTAGGATTATACTAGCAAAAACCTAAGACTCAAGTATTCCTGCAAATGTGTTCCTTGGATCCTAGCTTGTTTTTTTGTTTGTTTGTTTTAATGGATATAAAAGGATATTTAGAAAAACCTGTATTGGCTGGATATTGAATACTATCAGGACATGTTCAGTGCCTTTGTTTTTATTGTTGTTTTTTGTTTTAGGATTAAAAAACTGTTACTTTTCATTTTATGTGGGTTTTTGTTGTTGTTTGGTCTTATTTTTGCCTGCATGAGTGTCTCTATGTGTGTAACATTCATGCATGCTTACACAGGACAGAAGAGGGGGTTGGGTCTCCTGGGACTAGAGCTACAGCTGGCTGTGAGCCACCATGTTGGTGCTGGGTGTCTGTCTAATCTAGGTCTTCTATAATAGCAGCCAGTGTTCTTAACTCCTGAGCTATCTCGACAAAGAGGGCATGCTAACGAAATTGGACGTGAACTTCATCATTTATACTTGCAGATGAGCAATAAGAATTTAAAATATATACACTACATATATACACAGAAAGATTTGGGGGCAAATGGAGGTGATAAATACTTCTCAAAATAAAAAAGCTGGGGGAAATGTTGAGGCTGAAGCGACCAACCATTATCTGGGCAAGCACACAGGCAGTGATAAGGTCAGAGCATTCAGCCGCCACCAAGGCAAACAAAACCTTCACAAGTGAGAGCCTGCCGCCTTCACTCACCGTATGTCACTCCCTCCGCTGGCTGCGGCCTTCCATTGCTCAGACTTTCGGGTAAGTTTTTCAAAACTGAGATAAGCTACAAATACAAAAAAGGAGAGCACACAGAGTATACTCAAGAGAACAAGTCAGAAGCGGCACAGATGAGTGCCATGGAGTAACCTGTCCCAGCCAGAGTGGCGGCAAGCTGGCTTCGCCTGTAAGGGCGGCTGTGCCAAGCTGCTCTGTGGAGCACGGGTACTGAACGGCCTCCCAACAGTGTTGAGCTGTCCCTGGGTGCACAGCTTGTACTATCAGCCCACGCGGAGCTACCGACACTCTCACCTTACACAAGGCAGTGGGGCCTCGAGGAGCAAGTGCCAATCCCACCCTCTAATTACTAATGCTGTCATTTTGGAAAAGTTCTTTGGCTTGTCTGTAGCCCTCAACGTTGTGTCTGTGAAATGAGTGGCAGCAACAATTACCTCAGAGGTTGTTGGGAGGATGCAAAAGAAATTCACAGAGCTCTAAAACAGTCTCAATAAACAGCTCCACAGAAAGTCACTTCCAAGGGAATGTCCAGACTAGGAAGGGCTGACCATACAGCTGGGAAATGAGCAGGTTCCTAGTGGCCGCTCACTGAGAGCAGAAGACAAGGGATGTAGAGAGAGTGGGGAGAGGGCATCTGAGAAGAATAAACTACACACTCACTATGAAACGGAGAGGGCCACTGAAGAGCGCCCGTTTCATTTGAAAACTTCTATCAAGGACCCACTCTGCAGTCCTCAATGGCTACAAATACAGGCCTAATTTGTAGGAAGCCAGGGACAGGAGCCACTCTGCTTGGCTGTTAAGACAGAATCTCATTAGCCCAGGCTGACCTGGAGCTCAGGATTCTTTTGCCTCAGCTCATGAGTATTGAGATTACAGGTAAATATGACCATGTTTGCTCCCAATCTGTCTTGATCTCTCACTCATGTTATTAGATTTTTTTTTTCAAATTATTACTTATAGTGTGTATATGAACCCATGAGGAGGTCAGAGAACTTGCAGGACTCAGTTATCTTCCTCCAACACTTGGGTTCTGGGGATTGAACTTAGGCTACCAGGCTTGGTGGCAAGCACCTGCTCCGCCATCTCACTGCTGCCACCGCAAACCCCACCCTCACTGATAAAGCTTAAAAGTTACAAATCCTAAGATTTGTATTGTATTGCTTAAGAAGCCCCCTAAATAAAAGGGGGAGGGGGACAAGACAACGATGACGACACACACACTGTACCATGTTGGCACCGAGTTTTGACAACACTGCTTCCAGTTCCTTTGATGTGCTCTTGGGAGGTACAGGGATGGTTTCCTGCTTGAGAATTGGGCCTATGTCAAATCTAGCAAGAAACAAAACAAAACAAAACAAAAACAGAGCAGCCAACATTATTATTTGCTAAGACAAATATGTTTGTTTACATATCACAAAGACAGTTTTTGCAGGCTATTAATCTGTCAGCCATCGCAGTTTGAGGTCACTCTGGATTATGTGAAACACTGCTCAAAGGTAAGAAAGAGTTAGTGTGGTTGTATACGCCTTTAAGCCTAGCATTTGGAAAGAAGATGCAGGTGGATCTCTCTGAGTTTGAGGTCAGCCTAGTCTACACAGCGAGTTCTAGGTCAGGCAGGAACACACAATGACTCTATTTCAAAAAATGTGAAATAAACCAACACATAAAAACAAAAAGCCAAGCTCAAAATCCATTTTTCATTTATATTTTTTTATAGAAATCCAGGTGTTAATAATTCCAATGACCAATTTACAAGGATTTTAAAGAGATTGTATGAATCTCAGAAGACATATGGCTTATATTAGAAACTAGAAATACTTAGAGCAACTACAAAAGCAAAGGACAACACTGGGGAGTTATCCAAGTCAGCAAACCCCAGCCATTCCCCGGACTGCCGAGACCCCGGACAGACAGACATCACAGTTTATTTAAGTTAACAAGCTCTACCTTTTGGGTCTGATTTGCATAATTGTGACACCAGTGACTGTGTCTCCGTGAAGCACCGTGTGGATTATCGGGGCGGGACCACGCCACCTCGGGAGGCAACTGGGATGCACGTTCAATATGCCACTGAGGTAGAAAAGGCAGAAAGTGTGGAGGCCAGTTACTACTACCTTCAACATTGAACTTTGTGAGAGTCTCTAGTGGCATGACTAACTGTAACACTTGGAAAGGCAAGGCAGGAGAACCGCTCTGAGTGTCAAACAGTCAGCACTCCCCACACCCGACACCTTGTAACATCTAAATATGCACACGACCTTGAGGTCTGTATCACCTAAGACATAGTCAGAGGTTAAGTTCACTCTCTTACCATAAGCAACCAATGAAGCTTAATTAAAAACAGAGCAAGTAGATGGCTGAAGGGCTAAGAGCACCTGTTAAAGAGGACCAAGGTTCGGGTTCCCAGCACCCCACACAGTGGATCACAAACACCCACAACTCCCGGTCCAGGGACTCTGACACCCTCTTCTGTCCTCCCTGGATACCAGACACATACATGCTGCATACATATATTATGCAAGGAAAACATTCATACACATACAACAAATATAGCTACACTTTTTTTTGGGACAGGGTTTCTCTGTGTAGCCCTAGCTGTCCTGGACTCGCTTTGTAGACCAGACTGGTCTTGAACTCACAGCAATCTGCCTGCCTCTGCCTCCCTGAGTGCTGGGAGCACAGGTGTGCACCACCATGCCTGACTTACATTAAATTAAACAAACAAACAAACAAACAAACAGGGATACATTATAAGATCCGTGTCACCGGGTGATATCTCTAGTCAACATTCGGTTGAGGGTGTAATTTACACAAGTTCAGACAACTATCCCATCACGAGGCAATACAATCTCACGGAGCACTACCAGATATACCATCTACTGTTGATTGAAATGCCATCAAAAACATGAAGAGCTTTTCAGATAAAGGGCATAGCACAGAGATTATATTTTATTTTTTTCTTCTCAGCTGCTGCTTCCTGAGTGCTGACATTAAAGAAACATACGGATGCTTGGTATTTTTTATTTTGTTTTGTGTTTTTTCAAGACAGGGTTAGGGTTTACCTGCGTAGCTCTGGCTGTCCTGGAATTCACTCTGGCTGGCCTTGAACTTAAGAACTATGCCTGCCTCTGCCTCCCAAGTGCAAAGGCTCAATGGAGGTGATAATGGGCTGGCTCAGGGCTTTGACTTTTACTCCAGATGAGATGGAAAGCTAACAGAGGATTCTCAGCATAGTGACATGGTCGGACACATCCTTTATGGGGTCACTGTGGCTACTGGGTTGGCAAAGGGCCAACTGACAGGGCCAAAGACAGAAGCAGAGACCAGCCGGGATGCAACTGCAGTAATACAGGCCAGAATGCAAACAGCAAAGGTAACGGGATCCATTACAATCTTCTAGTTTTCAAAGGCAGCGTCATCAGGATTTCATAATGGACTGGATGTGGGATACAAGATAACTGAAGAATAACTCTAGTGTTTGGGGCCCAAACATCTGGAATGCTGGGGTTGATATCTCTGAGATAAAGACCGCAGAGATGTTGAGTCTCTTCAGTGAGGGAAGCCTATGAGACATGGAAACAGAGCTGTGGACAGGGTGGGACTGGCCTGGGGTTATTAGCATACACATGAGATTTAAAGGAGGGCAGATGAAGGCCAAGGAGTAATAAAGTGTTTAACACATCTGACAGTTTGTGCCCAAAATAAATCTTATTTTAAAAGAAGACAGTAAGGAAAACCTCGTTTAACCTGGGTCTGGTGGCACACACCTTTAATCTCAGCACTTAGGGGGCAGATGCAGGCAGATCTCTGAAAGTTTGAGGCCAGCCTGGTCTATACGGTGAGTTCCAGGACAGCCAGAGCTACATACAGTGTCTGGAAAAAAAATTAATTAAAATTAAAAAAAAAAAAAGCCACCATTTAAGTTATGGCATTTTTAGATAGTAGACCCATTATAAAAGACATGATCTCTACACTGTATTTCCTTATGCATAAAACTTACTAGGGAAATTTAAGAATAAGATCCTCACTCAAAAGTCGGCCAAAGGAAGCCACTACTCCGACGTCATACTCTCCGGCTCCCACCTCCGGCCACTCATACACCGGCAGCTGGGACTGCATTGCATACTGCTTCACAGGTAGGCCTCTGGGATACGGCGAAGGGATGGTGACGACCTCCAGTTTTTCAATTAACTTCTCCTCTTTGTTGTCTCTGAATTAGATTGGAGAAAAATTCAACAGTTAGGGCGACAGCTCAAAGTTAAACTACTTCACGAAGAGCAAAGCTATTTCTATGACTAAAACCATGGCACATTCACTGTTAAAATATTTATTTATTATCATTATATTTGTGTACGTGTCACATATGTGCGTAAGTGTGGCCATGGGCTACGGCGTGTGTGGGAAGTGAGATGGCAACTTTGAGGAGTCAGTTCTGTTATAGCAGCCACAATGTGCAGTTCACAATTGCTTGTAACTCCAGCTCCAGGGAATCTGACACCCTCTTCCGGCCTCCACAGGCACCAGCATGCACAGGCTCACGGAGACACACGAATACAAATACATTTTTTAAATAAATCTTATTTAAAAAGAAAAAAATAAGCATTTATAGAGAGACAGGGATGGAGGTGACAGAATCAGGGGAAGGGAGATGCCAAGAAACAAGGGAACGATAAAAACAAACAAACCAAATAACCTTAAACTAAGAGGGAAGTGGGGCAGAGGACAGGTCAGACTTTCAGGAAACGCTAAATGGCAAATAACTTTCTCCCCAGGAGACAAGGTTCGTCAAATACGACAGGCGGACGGCACCGCTCTAACTTAGGAATGTATTCCTTTGAAAACGGTCTGTCAGCGGCTGTCCGGCCCGGAAAGGTCGGGCGCGCGGAAGCAGGGAGCGGGAGGCCACCCTGGGCGGCCGGGGAGCCGCGGCAACCCGGGACCTGGGCAGTCGCGGCCCGTTCGAGCTAACCGGCTCCGCGCAGGCCCTGCGCGCTGGCGAGGCCTCCCCGAGTCGGGGTCCCCAGGCGGCCTGGTGCCGCGGGGGCTCCCGGGGCTTCGCGGACCGGGACCCCGCCCCGGCCCGGTACCTGGCGGCGTGCAGCGCCCGCAGCGCCTCCTGGGCGAAGTGGTCGGTGCCGAAGAACAGCACTCGCCAGGGCGGCTTCTCGCGGACCCGGGGGCCCCGGCCGTCCTTCCCGCCGGAGGACCCGCCGGGCCCGGCCGGCCACCGACACGAGCAGCGTGGCCGCCGCCCCGCCAGCCGCGGACCCCAGCAGCGCCGCACCAGGAGCATCACCGCCGCCGCGCGGGCCCACCATGAGCCTGCGTGCGTAGGGGCGGAGCTTGCGGCCGAAGGGTCCGGCTCACGCAGGGGACGGGGCGGGGCCTGCCGCCTTGGAGGCGTGGCCCAACTGAGGACTGAAGGAGTTTGAAGATTCTAGGGAGCTTTGATGAGTGTTATTTAGCCAAGTCCCTCAAAGAACGCTGCACACACACACACAATCAAGAAACTCATACTCATAAAATAAACCTTTAAGAGAAATTCTTTTAAAAACTTTACATTTTTTTTGCTTTTTAAATTTTTATTAATTACAGTTTAATCACTTTGTATTCCCCCTGTACCTCCCTCCCTTCTCCCCTCCCTTTTTCCCACCCTCCCTTTTTCCCACCCGTGTCCCTCTCCCAGTCCACTGATAAGGGAGGTCCTCTTCCCCTTCCCTCTGATCCTAGTCCAACAGGTCTCATCAGGAGTGGCTGCATTGTCTTCCTCTGTGGCCTGGTAAGGCTGCCCCCCCTCAGGGGGAGGTGATCAAAGCGCCAGCCACTGAGTTCATGTCAGAGACAGTCCCTGTCCCCATTACCTTGAAGGCCACTTGGATAATGAATTGCCATAGGCTACTTCTGTGCAGCGGTTCCAGGCCATCTCCATGAGTGGTCCTTGGCTGGAGTATCGGTTTCAGAAGCCTGTGCCAGACTTTTTGGATCTGTTGCTGTCCTTGTGGAGCTCCTGTCCTCTCCAGGTCTTTCTATCTCCCCCTTCTTTCATAAGATTCCCTGCACTCAGCCCAAAGTTTGGCTATGAGTCTCAACATATGCCTCGATACCCTGCCGGGTAGAGTCTTTCAGAGGTCCTCTGTGGTAGGTTCCTGTCCTGTTCCCTTCCTCTGATGTCCATCCTCTTTGCCTTTCTGATTGGGGATTGAACATCTTAGCCAGAGTCCTCCTTCCTGATTAGCTTCCTTAGGTGTACAGATTTTAGTATGTTTATCCTATATTATATGTCTAGTATCCACTTATGAATGAGTATATACCCTGTGTGTCTTTCTGCTTCTGGGATACCTCACTCAGAATGATCTTTTCCAGTTCCCACAAATTACCTGCAAATTTCATGATTTCCTTGTTTTTTATTGCTGAGTAATATTTCATTGTATAGATGTACCATAATTTCTATATCCATTCCTCAACTGAGGGGCATCTGGGTTGTTTCCAGATTCTGGCTATTACGAATAAAGCTGCTACTAACATGGTTGAGCAGATGTCCTTGTTGTATACTTGAGAGTCTTTTGGATATATGCCTAGCAGTGATATAGCTAGATCTTGAGGTAGCACTATTCCTAATTGTCTGAGAAAGTGCCAGATTAATTTCCAAAGTGGTTGTATAAGTTGACATTCCCACCAGCAGTGGAGGAGGGTTCCACTTTCTCCATATCCTCTCCGGCATGTGTTGTCAATTGAGTTATTCATCTTGGGCATTCTGATGGGTGTAAGGTGAAATCTCAGGATCGTTTTGATTTGCATTTCTCTGATGACTAAGGACGTTGAACATTTCTCTAAGTGTTTCTCTGCCATTGGTTTCATATGCATTGGTGTTTTGCCTGCATGTACTTCTGTGTAAAGGTGTCAAATCCCCTAAAACTAGAGTTAGAGATAGTTGTAAGCTGCCATGTGGGGCTGGGTCCTCTAAGAAAAGCCAGTGCTCTTAAACACTGAGCCATCTCTCTAGCCTCACATTTTATTTTTAAGTGTGTGTGTGTGTCCCATGTGCCTGCTGAGAACTGAATTTTTGCAACAGGAGCAAGCGCTTAAAAAAAAAAGTGTGTAGCTAGGCATGGTGGCACATGCCTTTAATCCCAGCACTCAGGGAGGCAGAGTCAGGCAGACCTCTGTGAGTTTGAGGCTAATCTGGCCTACAAAGCAAGTCCAGGACAGCAAGGATACACAGAGAAACCCTGTCTTGACCCCCCCCCCCCCCAAAAGCGCGTGAATATTTTGCCTGCATGCATGTATATGCACCACATGTGTGCTTGTTGGGCCCCCTGGAGCTGGGGATCAGATGGTGTGAGCCAGCCTGGGGGAGCTGGGAGTCAAACTCAGGTCCAGTTAGTGATGAGCGCTCTTAACCACAGTAAGTGGTCCTAAGCACTGAGATATCTCCCCAGCCCCCAGCCCTGCCCCTCTGTATCACCTCCACCTCCAGAAAGAGTTCATTTGAGAACAAATCACACACGTTCTCAGACAATGAGACAACAAACACTATCACTTTCTCAGCTATAACTAACAGTTACTATGCCACAATATACACACTTTATCTCCATTATTTCAGCTAACCTTCATCCAAGGCAGCTATTATTTCAACTTTTGTAATGAGGAAACCCTGACACAGTGAAGTTAAGGACTTGCCGGTAAGGCCCACGGTGCAATGGCACATCTGGAGTGGGGTGGGGACTTGTCCCTCTAGCTCCAAAGCCATGACCCTAACCATTTGACCTTGAACATCAATCTTATCTATTAAGCAATTCAGGATTCTCACTCACACCTGAGGACTCTGAGGTTTAGTGTCCAAACTCACTCCATGAATCTAAGACTCCACAGAGTCTCATGCCTGGAACGAGGGCGCCCTCATGTACAGTGAGACACCATAAGGGAGATTCTAGGGAAGGCGCGCAGTGGACGCTCTCTGCAGAGGACCTCTGAAGACCGTTGGCATTTAGCTATGTGCTCCCAAGGCAGGTGACATGGGTCACACCTGTGAAGCCGGCTCTGGTTCCAGAGTGGCAACAGAGTCCACTCTCAGTCCCATCACACAGCCTGAAAGCCAGTGAACCTGGGCCAGTCCCCTCCAACCCTGCTTCTAAGCATTCCATCGTCCTAAATAGTACCTCTCTTCCCCTCTAAATAGTACCCCCTTCTCAGCGCCAAGCTGATACCCTCTCTGAAGCTTTGAACTCTTATCTCGTAGATTCAATGCTTTTCTCCTTGGGCCCCCTCGAAACTGTGAAGGACTTTGTTTGGCATAATTGAAGAAAGTTGTCCAATGTGTACCGAGAGAGTAGAATTTCACTTGGATCTAAACAAGAAAGCGAGACCAAGACTATGACCCTGCTAGCCTGCTCGTCTGGTCATAGGAGAGTGAGAGGGGACCCCAAGGCATCTGTAGATTCCTCTAATCACGTCGTTTCCAAATCCTGACTTAGGGAAGTGAGATATGACCCTAACACTCAAGGTACTGACTAAAGTGTGACCTACTAGGGCTGGAGAGAAGGCTCAGTGGTTAAGATGCTTGCTGCTCTGCCGGAGGACCTGAGTTTGTTAGCCAGCACTAGCATTTCCAGCTGCAGGTGGTCTACTGCCCTCTGCTGGCCTCTACAGGCACTGCACCCACATGTACATACACATATCTTTAAAAAACAAATCCTTCAAGCAGAGATGGGTCAGCAGCTAAGAGCGCTGGGCACTCTTACAAAGGACTCATGTTCACTTCCTTATGCCCACATCACAGCTCATAATCACCTGGTACTCCAGTCCTAGGGCATCCTCTTCTGGCCTCTGAGGGCACTGCAAGCACACGGCACATAGACATAGGTGCAAGCCTGTTTTGTGGTGCATGCAATTTCCAGCAGCTCAAGTCCTCCCATGTAACTGTGCCTTTATGCTGCCTCCTGCCACTCACAGCACCCTATGCCCACCACAGGCTAGCTATGTGGAGCAAGAGGCTGGCACTAATCCTCACAGAGCTGCCTCCTGCTTTTTTTTTTTTTTTTAAAAAAAAAAGAGGTTTCTCTGTCCTGGACTTGTCTTGTAGACCAGCCTGGCCTTGAACTCACAGAGATCTGCCTGCCTCTACCTCCCTGGGTGCTGGGATTACAGGTGTGTGCCCACAATTAACTTCTCTTCTTCTTTCTAAAGTTGAACATAGTGTGAGTGTAAAGGCTGGAAGTTTTCCTGAAAATTAAAAAAAAAAAAAAAAGAAAAAAGAAAAAACTTTTTTGGTTTCTTTTTCGAGACATAGCCCCGGCTGTCCTGGAACTCACTCTGTAGATCAGGCTGGCCTTGAACCCAGAGGTCCACCTGCCTCTGCTTCTCCAGTGCTGGGATTAAAGGTATTAAAGCCATCATTGCCTGGCTCAAAAATGAAAAAAATTATGAAGTTCCTCATAGTGAGTTAGAAGTGTGGGGCGAGGCACTTCCAAATGCAGATAACCTACACACACACACACACACACACACACACACACACGACTTACCTTTAGCATAGAGATGAAGCGTCTAGCTGTGAAGGGCAGGAAGGCTTGTGCAGTAAACTGTTGTGCCTCTGTGTCCTCCAGGCACTGCCGAGAGCATTGCCGACTATGGAGTGGCTGTGATTACCCACCAAAGCCCAGCTCAGGCCCAGCAACACTCTTTTGTGGACTCAGGGGAACTCCCATCGGAGGATACAAAGGGGCTCAGTGGCTAGTGGGGAGACTTCCTCTTACCGCACGTTGTCCATGCTCCTGTAAGGCACCTAGTTAAACTCACTGTTCACCATGCTGGACTGGACTGGATGGAGTGGCTTCTTTGGTGCCCTATCTGGGGTAAACAGACATTTGTCTTCCCCAGAAGAAAAAAGTTACACATCATTAGGGCATCCATAAAGCATATCTAACTTACCGGAAGCTGGACAATGAACTTCTGGTCAATGCTTTAGTTTCCGGAAATTTCTTCTGGGAACTCCTTCAGCTCAGGGTAGAACGCTGGAATGTGAGATCGGCCTATTCCCCCTAACGTACCATTCCCTGTTCCCACCGTTTTACACTGCTGCCGTGTGTCTTTCTTCTGTGCCACAGGACAAATGTGTACATTCATGCTTGCATGCGCACATATGCGATCAATCATTTGGTGTTGGGGCAAAACGAGGCTCAGCCAGAGCCCCGGGGCAGGAAGTAAAAACAAGATCTTTTGCCTCCAGCAGGGTAAGCAATGTCCCGGAACCAGGGGAAATATATTCTATGCGCAGACACCAGCCCAGGATCAGGGCCACAAGCTGACCCCACGCTGACC